GAATCAGATGCAAGCCTACGTAGCGATGTATCAAGGATGGCTTTTAAGATTAGGGGCCGTTCCCGTGGGGCAAAAAAGAGACGTCTAACTAAATCAGTATCGTCCAGCAACAATGAAGCTATTTTAAAGGAATCGAATTCTGAGACAAGAAAAGAGGTGATTCCGTTAATGTATAAATCTGGAGAGTTGTTCGTAGTGCCAGGGCCAGAGGAGGCTGTTAATATGGCTGAGAGTCAAGTGGAACAAATGGCTTGCGCTGCCAATCAGAAACGGACCGTCCTGGGGCTTCCTACTCTAGTTGGAGATGACAACCGTTCAGCAACGGCTCTTAACCAACGGGTTCTCGACGATGTCGAAGTCATACTGACGGTAGCGGCTAAGTCGAAAAATCTGAAAGGGTCCTGAAAAAGGTCCAACATGAGGATCTAATGGGAGCGGCAGCTGCCTTAAAACGACTGCTACCCAATGTCGGCGGGCTTGATGCTAACTGCCGCCGCCTCTCGGCACTCGGAACTTCGACATCGAGGGCATCGTTCTTTTCCCAGAGAGTGGCAATCACAGAGGCTTCACACTCAGCAGCTTATGCTTGAAAAGTGGAAAGAGCGTCTAGCTCACCCGAAGGCAGGGCTGTCGAGGCTGTTCGTTCGATCTTGCCAGACTGGTTGAACGGGTGGCACGGGTCACTGACCTTCCAGCTGGTATAGCCAGAAGAGAGCCGACAACTGAGTTTCATCAGTGTGGTAGCGTCAAGGACACGGCGCAGCATACCCTAGTGGACTACTCAGCGTGGGCTAAGTTACGTCGTGACCTGGTGGATGTAGTGGGGGACGACCTCTCGCTCCCAGCTGGCGTAACTTTCTGCAAACAAGTGACGTTGCGGAAGGAGGCTGCGGAGAGGGAGAGAGAAAGGACGGCAGATACACCAATCCGCAGCCGAAGAGTTGTGCGCCGGCGGAGAACATACCACTCTCTCCTACCCCCACCATAATTGAGGCTTAGGTGGCGGATACAGGGACTGTCTGTCGTCTTTTAATGCCTCGAGGTGGCGAGCACAGTGTGTTTCCCGTGCGCCCCTAAATGAAGAAGAAGTGGAGAACTCCAGCTCAACTCCGTAACTCCGGGGCTACGGTAGTGTGCGAAAGCGTTCCCGTAGCTCCGACCAAGGACGAAGAGATGAATGCCGTGAGGTTTTAGCCGGTAATAGTCGGTATCCATGAAGATTTTCCCACGTATAAAAAAATGGTTAAGTTAGGTTAGAAAAGGAGTTCATCTAAGTGGGTAGATACGTAATACTGTATGGTAAAAATAGGTATTATATGAAACAACGAAAGTCTTTATTCTGGCATAATTACTACCGATCTGCCTCAGCTTCGTCCAGTCCGAATGTGGATTTAAGCCATCTAGGGATCCATTCTAACACAAACAAAAAAATTCATCAAAATCGGTCAAGCCGTTTATGAGTTTTAGCGAGACTAATGCACTATAATTAATTGTGCATTGACGTACACAACACAACAATTTATATATATATAAAAACACTGCGTAATTATAAAAAAATATTTTATACGTTACATCGTAAGTCAGCAATTTTTATGTTTATCGCAACTCATGCTGAGTTGTGATAAACTTAAAAATTGCTGATAAACCAGAACGCTGATTTTCAGTGATAAAGAAAATAATATATAAAATCTTTTGCAATTAAAAAGCGGACAACTATGCAAAGAACCAATTTTATTGTTACTATTTAGATTGTTTGACGATTTTATGTAGTCTTACACTAATAATTTTATAAAATTAGCAAGGAATAGTTTCAGTCAATTTTATCATAACATTTTACTTAAACGAATGAGAAATAATGATAAAGTACAAAGTAGTAGTAGTATACCGGTTTGATAAGTAAAAATGAAACACGATTTTGTTTGTTTTTTCTTTAATAAAGTAATAGCAGACAATAGTTTAATATGGCGTGTGATCCTAGCTGAAATCACAGCTCTTATGATTTTGAGACTTCTTAACGCTTGACTCACCAGAAAACGAACATTTTTTTATTTCGATACATAGATTTTTTTCAAAACCAGGCCTTCTCTTGATGGAACCGGACCCATGATAGGGCTGCCAGCTCCTTTGGATAGTCGAACGACTCAAATTTAGCCACTGAGCCTCAAAGCATTGGCTGCAAGGAGCGCAATAATTTTGCTGGCTTTTATCACTTTATCTGCAATTTTTGAGACCGTTAATTATATTCATTAGACAAATATGATTACGATTATATTAGACGATTAGATTATCACATTTCCTTAACTTTTAAAGTATTGTTATTGTTACTTAGCGGTCTCAAAATAGCAGATAAAGTCATAAAAAATGGACTAAAGGTTATTTAGAGTATTAACTTATTAGATATTAACTTTCGGGAGTTCGCGACACAAACTGTAGTAAAAAGTAGTTTTCTTTAAAAAGAAATTGTAACGCACGGCTATTGTTGCCAATATGAATGAGCTAGACAGAGTACTAAAGAAAGAAACTGTAACAGCTTCATAATGATTTCAACGTCGGGAATATAAAATAACTTAATTAAACGCGATAAAATCCGTAAAAGTAGTTTTATTCAATGTGGAGTGTTCGCATAAATATAAGAAATCATTATGTAAACCAGTACGGACTGGAAATAGCAAGGGTTAACTTTGACATCAGGACGTCAATCACCTCAGTCCCCCGTGACCACGGTTGCTGGAAAGCAATCGAAACGTCGGGAATATAAAATAACTTAATTGAACGCGATAAAATCCGTAAAAGTAGTTTTATTCAATGTAACAGCTTCGCTCTCTTTTCTATATAGAAGAGGGGAAAAACAGGACCCAGGCACCTAATACTAACTGTAGACCAATGCCCATTAACAACTGAAACACCAGGGGAATTTCAAATGCGTAACTGGGCTTTTAAAAACGAGTAAGGTGGTTATTTGACGGTTCCCAAGTCATATCGATCCGGAAAAGTTGCCGGTGGTAGACGATTCCACAAATAAATTGTGTGAGGAATAAAAATCCTAGGAAATGGCACAATGGTGGACCGCCAAGTTTCCAGATAATGTGGTATCGTGAGTATGGAATTAATTCGAACATTTTCTCTAAATACTACATTTGGGGCCGAACTTGTACCTTGTATTTCCTTGTATTTGCAAGCAGTGTGCCGGCATGAAATACTTTCCTGCTTTTCTGAGCACGCCAAGCTTTTTAGAGACTAATTTTTTATTTATTTATTTATTTAAAATGGCGTGTCAGATAAATTATAGTCTTCATTTAGTGAACAGCGTTTACGCGTGAATGTTATTATTTTACATTTATTATCATTAAAGGGAAGACGATTTAATACGCTCCAATCCAAAACCGCACTGATGTCTCTTTGCAATGCCTCGCAGTCAGACTTAATTTGAGATCATCCGCGAACAACTGACATTTTGAGGAAACCATGTTATTCGGTAAGTCATTAATGAAAATAAGAAAAAGCAATGGCCCCAACGTACTTCCCTGACTTACCCCAGATCTTGTGTAATAGTCACTAGACTCAAATGCACCCACTCTAACAAACTGACGCCGATCACGTAGGTAATTTGAAAAAAATTTGACAAGTTTTGGGCCAAAGCCTATCATAATTTATCCTTCCCTTCCAAGTGACCGCAGAACTGTACGTCATTTGATATGTCGACGCCGAGGATTCCGATGCTGGCTGAAGCAGCAAGGGGAGTGCTTTGAAATTGAGGAGTTACGACAAAGGTGTTATTTTAGCGTTAAAAGAGAAAACTTGTCTTCTGAGTGTTAAACTGAACTAGATTGAGTTGTCCCTAATCCGAGACTTTGTTCAACTTGCTCTCTTGTTTACGCGAATAATCATTATCACCAATAAAACATAGTACTGAACTATACATTCAGTATAGGCAAATACAGTTCGACCTTACCGTAATATGTACCAGTCACAATATTACACACTGGTGTAACGAGAGTGACATAATTACACGATAACACCAAAGTATGCAAACCAACAGCAACACAACCCATCTCAATGTACCACAAGGTAGCCTCTAAGTAACACCATCTTCCTCCAACCACCATAACGGAAAGAACCACGATACTATCTTAGCACTACTACTACGTAGAATGACTTAGTCGTAATCTCTCGCTCACGGCACCTACCATAAACTTTATACTGCACAAACGAGTGCTTCTCGATATACCATTCCACCTCGCCACCATCGATATGATGCTACGCTAAAGTGACGCAAGTTCTTGCTTACTCTCGATAAAACCGGTATTTTATAAGCGCACTGAAATATGCAAAAATGATAAAACAGAAATGGGCTGAGCATTGAACCCCGAGGCATGCCCATTCGTATAATCGACCCGGAGGAACGCATACCATTAATGACAATTTTTTGCTTTCTGTAACTTAAACGCGCCGACAAGTATTACCACGTGATATAACGTAACGTGGGATATAACGTAATCCTATAGATGTTGATGTCTGACTTACACATCTCTGCAGTTGGATAGGTTTCGTACTCTGGTTCTGTACTCGGATGGCCATCGTAGCCATCCTGTACAAACACTTCAGCACTTCGATATACCGACAGTCAACTTAACACCGCTGAAGGGACTGCAGTACCGTCCTAATTTCGACGGAATCAAAGGCTTTCTCACAGTCCACATACGCAATGGCAGATTGTACTCTTCGATTTAATGTAATAAATCAAAATAATGATTAATATTGTGATATTTTTATACAAAGCGTAAGAAGCTTTCTTTCTGTCGGTTGTTTTTTTTTTTCTTGATAAAGTGTCGAAATAATAGTCAATGACTTAGAAATGCATAAAATACAATTTTATTTAACATTTCTTAAATTACTATTTTTAACACTGGTTTAAAACTAATTTAAAGCGTGTGTTTTAATTCAAAATGCATATTTATTAGTATTAACATAATTATATCGGTAGAGTCATTTAAACAAACCTGCCAAATCCAATGCAGCTTCCAACTGAAGTTTTGCATCATTTTCAACTTTTTTAACGACACTCATTTCTTTGAATTAACTTTCAGCGATTATACACTCTCGTTTAATTAAAATTTTCTTGTTTTATTGATATAACTATATGTATGTACTCCGTCACAGACGTTGCCACAACATTTAATTGTCGAAATTTAGAAAACTATATATTCATTGTCTTATCACATATTATTAAACTAGATATTAATTATTTAGTAGGATAATATCTTACAGATAGATATTATCTAATATTTTTTTATTACTAGCTCTAACCCGCTACTTTGTCCGCGTAGAAATCTTGCAAATCTGTATTAGCGTATTTGGGCAAATTCTTTAATCATGGAAAAATCACTAAACTCACTTTTTGCTCGAAATTATATGCAGTAAGAGAAAACGGTTAAAGTTAAATCGAAAATTCATTAATTTAACAAATTAAACAAATCATGAAAAAAATCAATAAACTCAGTTTGCCTATCCCTGATCTAGGTAAAATGTACAGAATAATCAGTGTACACAAATGAGAAGCAATTAATAAGATAATCAACAAGGAATTACACGTTATCTAAATCCTAATTGATTTTGTAATTTTGATTGAAACGAAAGACATATGTATTATATATATATATATATATATATATATATATATATATATATATATATATATATATATATATATATATATATACTTTAATAAACGTCGTCTACATCCCGGGGAAACAAATGATCTTCTATACTTAACCTCTCTCTGTATGACACAAAACTATTTCCGGTTTAATAACCACTTCTATTTACAAAAAGAAAGGCTAGACATGGGTTCCCCTCTAAGTCCTCTTATGGCGGACATTTTTATGGATAATTTTGAAAAACAACACATCAATCAAAACAATCAAAATATCTTATACTATTATCGATATGTAGACGACATAATTATTTGCTGGACTGGCACAAAGGGGCAAATGGATGTTTTCCTTAATAAAATTAATAAAATCAACGACAAATTTAAATTTAATCTTGAATTGGAACAAGATTGTGTCCTTAACTTCCTCGACTTAACAATAACAAGGAAAGAGTCGTTACATGAATTTCAAATTTATCGAAAGCCAACTCATACCGACACGGTCATTCCTGCGTCATCATATCATCCGTGGCAACATAAATTAGCCGCTTTTTATTGTTATATTAATCATTTGTTTATTGTGCCATTAAGCAAAGAAAATTATTTAAAAGAGCTTAATGTGATTTATCAAATTGCGGTCTCTAACGGTTATTCAAAGAATATCATTGACAAAGTAATAAAAAAGAAACAAAAACTTGTCGTACGCAATTCTCTGTAGGCGGTTAAACCTCAAAGTAATCGTCGATATTTTGGTAGTTTGACCTACTTAGGTTTTATATCTGAAAAAATAGCTAATACTCTTCGACAGAGTGGCGTGTACGTGGCATTCAAAACAAACAATTCACTTAAGAATATCTATAATTATAAAGATTAGTTAGATATTCGTCTAAAGTCTGGTGTTTATAAACTTGTTTGTGACGAATGCCAAGCCGTTTACGTGGGTCAGACTGGTCGCAACTTCGAAACACGTCATAAAGAGCATTTAACCCCGTACAGGAATTGTAATCCCGATAAATCACATTTTGCTAAACATCTCTTAGACACTGGACACAGCCTAGCCAATGACCACTCCTTTGAAGTCTTACATACTTGTAATAAAGGGCTACGACTGTGTGTGCTGGAACAGTTAGAGATATTTAAAAAAAAATAACGGTGACGTTGCACTGCTGAATGAACAAACAAATGTTTCCAACTCGCCTCTCTTAAACATGTTTAAGCCTGCTCCTTGATGATATATAGCTTCGCAACATGGTCGTTTGTCACCCTCACGGTGCGGTGGTCAGCATTTGGTTGCGTGGTTGTAGGCTAGGCGGACGTTTCGCAGTAGTTTGTTGTTAATTCCACAGCAAATGTCGGCGTACTTCAGGCTGTGATTGATCGCATGACGTAATCGCTCGCTACGTAATAGGAGCGCGGTTGCGTCAGCAAGTAGTATAAATAGCAGTAGTTTCGGCTCGCCGCTCACTTAGCGGCCAGCCTCAGAGTCTATTTCACCTGAGGATGCCTCGTGTAGAGGCGAAACACGTGTCGTATTATCGAGATTGGTGTATCATGCCTAGTGTGGTGGTGCTGGGAGTGGTAGTGCTGGGATTAACGACGACGGGTATAGTGTGTGTGGTGGGAGGTCCCCTTAAAACTGGGCAGGACACATCATTTTCTTTCTTCACGCGGAATTAAGCAAATTAGTTTATAACAACCCCATTATAATGGATTTCCGCAAAGTAACGCCTGTTTCTATCAATTATCTTATAAAGGTTTATTGTTTAAGTGCGCCAGACCTCGTTTTAACTTAAACCATTCTGAGCCTATCATCTTTTCTTGTAAACAATTATTTAATAATGCCTTCCCACTGTCTGTCTGTCACTCTCTCTCTCTCTCTCTCTCTCTCTCTCGTTCTCTCTCTCTCTCTCTCTCACTGCTGAACTTTCTGCATCCAACGCTTCCAAAACATGTTAGCTAAGCTTTGTGATATACGACATAGACGTCTGAGGTAAAAGTCTGAGTAATAATTTACCATATTTTCTATTTCAGTCATTAATGGGTTGAAAGCTTCCTCCCTCGGTGCACACTCTTTAAGTACCACCTTTAAGTATATTTTACACTTCAAATTCTTGCAATTACAATTAAACGCAACGAATGCTATTATAAAGCTTAAGTTAAATTATTTACATATTTTAGTAGCGCCTGACAATTAACAGATTGCAATTACAATTAAACGCAACGAATACTATTATTATAAAACATGAGGTAAATTATTTACATATTTTACTAGCACCTGACAATTAACAGATTGCAATTATAATTAATCGCAACGAATGCTATTATAAAACACAAGGTAAATTATTTACATATTTTATTAGCGCCTGACAATTAACAGATTGCAATTACTATTAAACTCAACGAATGCTATTATTATAAAACATAAGGTAAATAATTTACATATTTTATTAGCGCCTGACAATTAACAGATTGCAATTACAATTAAACGCAACGAATGCTATTATTATAAAACATGAGGTAAATTATTTACATATTTTATTAGCGCTTGACAATTAACAGATTGCAATTACAATTAATCGCAACGAATGCTATTATAAAACACAAGGTAAATTATTTACATATTTTATTAGAGTCTGACAATTAACAGATTGCAATTACAATTAAGTAAACGCAACGAATGCTATTATTATAAAACGTGAGGTAAATTATTTACATATTTTATTAGCGCTTGACAATTAATAGATTGCAATTACAATTAATCGCAACTAATGCTATTATAAAACACAAGGTAAATTATTTACATATTTTATTAGAGTCTGACAATTAACAGATTGCAATTACAATTAAACGCAACGAATGCTATTATTATAAAACATAAGGTAAATAATTTACATATTTTACTAGCGCTTGACAATTAACTGATTGCTATTACTGTTAAACGCAACGAATGCTATTATTATAAAACATGAGGTAAATTATTTTCATATTTTATTAGCGCCTGACAATTAACAGATTGCAATTACTATTAAACGCAACGAATGCTATTATTATAAAATTAAGGTAAAAAGCAACACGGGCCGCCGACGTACCGGACAAATGGAATTATACAAGTTCAATTTAAAAAAGTTCTAGAAACTTTAACTCACATATACAATTTGGATAAAATAATAAAACAGCAAAAAAAATGACGCATACGGTGTACCCCACACTTTTAGGTGGGGCGAAGTTCTACAGAAATTCTGGCATTGTCATTTTGGATTAATACCATAAAGCTCCTTGGAAATCTGTGTTATTTTAGGCGTTTTTATTAAAGTATATTTATAATTATTTAAATTGAAATAAAATTTTAATTTATTAATTGAATTTAATTTACTTACTTCTAAATTAAACAAATATTAACGCATTTCAAATTTTGGATATAATGTTAGCAATTCCTACACTACACTTATAATTAAAATGGAATAGGATTGGAAAATGCAAATGAAATATTGATTAGGTCTACTCACATTCAGAGTCTTAGTCCTGAAGCATGACGTCCTCGCTGCTTTTCTTCTTGACGAATTTGGTTCATGGATTTTCGTTGAAAACGATTTTTTTTAAATTTATTAATCAATAATATCATACATATTTCCTTGATTTGTGCCCTTAAACCAAAAATGGTTTGTATTGGTACTCACATTCGCTACTAACGCACTGCTTTACATTAAATAATTAGTTCATTTGTTAAAAGTAAAAAAAATATGCATTTAAATTTACCTCCTTTATCTATACAAATAAATAAAATGGAAGTGTCTGTTTGTAATATCAAAATTACAGCTTTTTACTAAATGCATATGAAAGTTTATACGGTACTAATAACAAAAATACAATTTTTAAAATTTTTGCCTGTCTGTCTGTCTGTCCGTTTGTCTGTCTGTTTGTTCCGGCTAATCTCCGAAACGGCTGGACTGATTTTGACAGGACTTTCACTGGCAGATAGTTAATGTTATAAAGAGTAACTTAAGCTACTTTTATTTTAGAAAAAGAATTAGGGTTCTGCGCAAAAGTATTAAAAGCCCAAATAATATGGGCACTTGGATGCTTTTAATATTAAATTATTCAATTAAGATGATCATGTGAAATTTCATCTGCATGAGCAAAGTATTGCAGTATTTGAAAATGCCTAGTAGGTAATTTATCTTTATGTTTTTGTTTAATTTTTAGGGTACAATAAGTTTAAGTAATCTAATTTATTTTATATATTTTTTCGGTATATAACTTAAATGTGTGTCAATAACTTGTTCCGTATGATATAATTGACTTAGCTAAGGCTTTATTATATTGAGTATGATTATTTATATATGGTACTTTAGATTTTAAAATGTAGAATTTAAGCAGTACAGTTCGTAACTTGTCACAGACAGGATCAGTGTGAAAT